GGGCCGGGCAGCCTCACCCACGCACTCCCCGCTCGGCTTCCCACCCTGCCCCCTCCAGCCCCGCCCCCAGTCCGTGCTCCCCAGATGGCTCCAATTAAAGGCCTTTGTTTTGTTTCCATTTTCCCAAAATAAGCCTCCCTGTGCCGAGTTCCTTCTGCCTGGCCGTGCCGGATGTGGGCCGGCCTGGCTTTATGACGGACCGCCCCACTGTCACTCCTGACGGGCCCTGGGTCCCAGTTGCTGGGAGAGGACATGGCTCAGGGTGCTGGCTTGGTGGCCACCTTCGTGGACACCAGCACCCCCTTTCCTCTGAGCATCCACGGAGCCCTGGACGGAGGGGCGCCGGTTCAGAGCTGCGACTTTGGGGCTAGAGACAGGCCTGTCGTTGACTAGACTCAGCTGTTTTCGGCGTGATGTTGGGCAAGTCCCTCCTTAGTAAAACGTGCACAGTGATGGGAGTGTTTGGGGACGTCTCAAGATACAGTGTGCGTAAAGCACTTAGCAAGGTGCGTGGCACATAGTAGGTACTCACTAAATGCTGGCTGTTTGGGGTCAGGGCTTGCAGACACACTTGTGGCCGTGTTAGCCATGTTGTTGGGCCTGCCTGTCTCAACGTGGTCACTGGATCATAAACTCCTTGAAAGTACAAATCATGCTTCGTCCTTCCTCACACATTTGGCAAGCATTTAGTGAGCACCTACTATGCGCCAGGCGCCATGCTCAGCACGAAGGATTCACAGCCCTTGTCCCAAGGGGGTCAAAGACTAGTGGGAGAAATAGGCAAGTGTTTACATAACAGGGTGCGGGAGCCCAGTGGGGCACCCAGACCCCCCACTTCAAGGATGAGTAGCCATCAGCCAGGAAAGTACGTGAGAGGAGGACATTCTACACCTGGCGGAGGCAGAGGCTGGGCATGTGGTCGGTTCGCTAAGCCAGTGGGATGAGCAGGGATGTGTGGGAGCCAGCCAGGTGCGGAGTGGAGGGAACAGCATTCCGGACAGAGGGAACAGCATGCTGGCAGCTGGGGGGTCTGTCAGATCCGGGCTCTACCACACAGTGTGGCCCCCATTTACATTTGGGGAGGCGTTTTGGTCCAGCTTTCCTGCTGGGACCACACCTGAATCAACCACACCCTGAAGCTTGTAAGGGTCTGGGTTGGAACTGTAAATTTAATGCTTGTTGCTGTTTGGAAGACCTTGGTGTGTGTGGGGGCGCAGGGGGGGGTCCTTCCCAGCCTTCAGGTTGCCTTTAGCAGAAACCTCTCTGTCACCCAGCGCGGATTAAATTGCTTGCTGGCTCTTCTAAGAAGCTCCTGCAACAAAAAGGGCCGGCTGAGTCGCTGTGATGTTCCGGCAGCTCCCCTCACCTCCGGGCCGGGCAGGAGGAGGACCAGCAGCCCGATGTTTGCATGAAACCCCGGTGACTGTCTTTTTCCGATCACGGTCAGGCGTCTAGCTGCCAGCCACCGTTCCAGCGGCTCCAGCTCCCCTCCCCGCGGGAGGCTCCTGCTGTTCAATGTTTACCGGGGAGTCGGGCGGACCTGCCCCCCAATCCTTTCCTGGGCGTGAACGCACGTCTGGGGCAAGTCCCACCTGGGTCCCCGCGGAGCCGGAACCGGAGCCGCCACCAGCTGCCCGGCCTGGGCACCGGCACCGCGCCCGCGTCTTCCCGGACGCGGGGTTCCAGTGCCAAGCTGCGCGCAACGGAACTCTGCAAAACATCGAGCGTGGCAAGCCGGTCGCTTAAAAAAGATTTTTTAAAATGTGTTCCCTCCGGTTTTTTAATTAAAACAAGCTTCACGGAGAAAAGTGGGGAAATGCCGACAATTAAGGGAAGACGCCACTCTGCCCTGAGCACAGTCACGCCTTCCGGTTCGCTGTGTCTCTTTCTGCCCCTTTTTAGGGGCGTTTAAGTATAATGAGATGGTTCTGAAGGGGAGTAATGTGTCTTTTTTTCATTCAGCGTCTGGCTTACGCTCCGCACATTGGAGACGGGTGGCCGCCGTCCCCGTGGCTGCATCGTCCCTGAGGTGACTCCCTAACTCACTGAGCCCTTGTGGTGCCAGTGCCCCCCGCAGCCACCGCCTCGGCGACCATGTTCCTGCATTTAGGCTCCTTTCCACGTTCGAACTCCCAGAGCGGGGATCCTCGTGCCAAAGGCCAGGAGCATTGTTATGGCTCAAGTCACGAAACTGCCTTTCCAAAGGGCTGGAATATATACATGTGCAGAGGTAGATAGATATACCTACAGATATTCAAGTTTTTCTTTTATTGGGGTAAAACATGTATAACATGAAATTTGCCATCTTAACCAATTTTAGGTGCCCAGTTGAGTGCCATTAAGAAAAGAGCATTCATGCTGAAACCGGTTTGGCTCAGTGGATAGAGCGTCGGCCTGCGGACAGAAAGGTCCCAGGTTCGATTCCGGTCAAGAGCACGTACCTCTGTTGCAGGCTCCATCCCTCACTCTGGTCAGGGCACACACGGGAGGCAACCAGTCGATGTGTCTCTCTCACATTGATGTGTCCCTCTGTTTCCCTCCACTCTCTCTAAAAATCAATGGGAAAACATCCTTGGGTGAGGATTAACAAAAAGCAAACAAAAACACAGAAAAGAAAAGAGCATTCCCATGGCTGTGCAGTCACCGCCGTCCGTCTGTCCATCCGTCCGTCACAGAACTTTCTCATCTTCCCAAGCTGAGGCTCCGTCCCCTGCAAACACTGACTCCCGCGCCCTCCGCCAGCCCCTGGCACCCACCGTCTCCCTCTGTCTCTGTGAGTTTGCCTCCTCTGGGGACCTCGGGGACATGGGTGGTGTGTGGCGTTTGGTGACTGGCTGCTTTCCCTCGGCGTCTTGTCCCCGGGGCTCGATCCTGTGGAAGCAGGTGTCCGCATACACTTGCTTTTTAAAGCCCGTGGTGTGGATGGACCGCATTTCGTGTGTCCGTCCTCTGCTGGCGGACACCGGGGTTGTGCGTGTGAGCGATGCTGCTGTGAACGTGGGTGTGCGAGTGGCTCTTCAGGACCCGGCTCCGTTCTTTTGGATGGAGACCCAGCAGTGGGATTGCTGGATCATATGGTCTTTCTATTTTAAAATTCTTGAGAAACTCCCAGACTTTTTCTCTGCAAATATACCATTTCACATCCCCACCAACAGTTCGAATTTTCCACATCCTCACCACACTTATTACCTTTTTAAAATAAAATTATAACCATCCTAATGGATGTGAGGTCCAATTTGTAAAAATATGTAACAGCCTCCGTTCTTTTGGATGGAGACCTAGAAGTGGAATTGCCCGATCATATGGTCTTTCGTTTTTTAAAAGTATATTTCTGTTGATTTCAGAGAGGAAGGGAGAGGGAGAAGGAGATAGAAACATCAATGATGAGAGAGAATCATTGATCAGCTGTCTCCTGCACGCCCCACACTGGGGATGGAGCCCACAACCCGGGCATGTGCCCTGACCGGGAATCGAACCGTGACCTCCTGATTCAAAGGTCGGTGCTCAACCACTGCGCCACACTGGCCGGGCGTAAATGCATTTTTGACTTACAGTATTTTTGACTTGCGATGAGTTTATCTAGACGTAACCCCAGCGTAAGTGGAGGAGCCTCTGTGCTCCATTCCTTCTTATTCCCAAACACTACCCCACTGTATGAAACTCCTGGTGGGGGGCGGGAGTGGCCAGGGGCCCAGGAGGGAAGCAAGGCGGGGTCCTGGCTGGGCCGAGGGGGTGCTTGGTGGAGGTGCCTTGCACGAGTGGCTGGTGTCGAGGCTCAGAGAAGCCGGACTGCGATGGGCCGGGTGAAGTTGCAGGTGGGAGGGATGGAGCGGCCCTGGGAGGACCGCGTTAAGGTGGGGGGTGTCTTCCGCTGCAGGCAAAGCTTACGAGATCACCTACGTGCGCCTCAAGTTCCATACCAGCCGCCCCGAGAGCTTCGCCATCTACAAGCGCAGCCGAGCGGGCGGCCCGTGGGAGCCCTACCAGTTCTACAGCGCCTCCTGCGGGAAGACCTACGGCCGGCCCGAGGGCCACTACCTGCGGCCCGGCCAGGACGAGCGCGTGGCCTTCTGCACCTCTGAGTTCAGCGACATCTCCCCCCTGAGCGGGGGCACTGGGGCCTTCTCCACCCTGGAGGGCCGG